TATATATATAGTCACTGCACATAAAACAGTTCAGATTGTGTTGCTTAGAATAATAACTTGTAAGTGAACCCTGGTGTGGTTCGCTTACAGTGGGAAATGCAAACGGACTATCCAGTGAACCAAAAAGAGGAAGTGACGTAGAGCACAGTGCACCCCAGAGGATTCTTTATGGCTCAACACTGATGCTCCCATCATCCTCAGCTATACTTTGCGTTCAGTGCTAATTAGCAAATCTTAGCGTGCTTAACTAAGATGGTGGAAATGATGAAACTACCTGTTAAACATCAGCGTGTGAGCATTGTCATTGCTAGTGTGCTGACATGCTAGCATTAGCATTTAGCTCAAAGCACCCAGTGGAGCCTCACAGCGCTGCGAGTGTGGCTGTAGACTCTCAGTCTTTGTCACTTTTACAGTGTGAACACACTGAGGGCGCATGCACAGCTCGTGTTGTGTGTCCTGAACATAGTAAATCATACACAGAATGAGAACTAACCTGTGAGTGGGTTTACAGAGAAGAACATTAGTCACAGAATAACTAAACTTCACTGATCTAACAGGTGAAAGGGAGGATTTCCCTTAAAGGCCGACGCCGGCCTCCGATATAGGCTACCGTGGTAACACCTACCAGGAACAACACCTCCCAGGAGGGTCTGCTTCACATTTATCTGTCCATCTTCTGCATAATTTGACCTTTCCCATCCCCCAAGCGGCTGCTATGCTGGTCCCGCCTCCTGTACAAACCTCCCAGTATGTCTTCATCATCAACAGCAGGGCAAGGTAGTGCTAGAAAAAGAAGCGGAGGAGAGGGGGATAAAAGGGGAACCTTGTAGAGAGTGAGAGAGAACCAGAGACAAGGGAAGTTGTGACAGTGAGAGAGAAGAAGATAAACAAGGCAAAAGACAACAACAGAGAGTCAGAGGTGAAGTCAGAGGACAGGATAGGAGAGTTGTGACTTGTGGACCAAAGAGGCAGAGAAATTAATACATGTAGCGAGAAAGAAAAAGGGGACAAAAGGAGAGCGACACACGAGACAGAAACTGAGCCGGGAACCACAGGTAAGGTGAACAGAAATTTTGATCTTATCTAGTTGCAGCTCCATGGAATCGTTTGAGCGATGAAAACGCGCGGAAACATCTGAGGCTCAAGCACTTGTAGAATGTATGAGGAATCGTTAATGTTCCTTTCGCCTTAATTTTGGATGTCAGAGAAAAAAACAGCTGAATTTAGAGTAAATCATCCTCTGTGAGCTTGTTAGACGAAATTCCTCAACAGTTCTCCTCTGTGTGCCAGCTGCTCTACATCACATTTCCTGTGATGTGGCCTGTGAAGTGCATCGCACATTACACAATCCCAATAAAAACCTGGGACAAATGAACATATCCATCACTAATGAGCTGTAAAGTGGAATTTTTGTTGCATGTTTCCAATGTTTGGATCGCTTCCATGATGGGACTTGGAATGTTTTCATGCTCAGCAGGAACAGGGTCGTTCAGGTTGTAAATTCTGGTGGAGAACTATAAGCCCTTACACCAACTTCTATGGTAAATCCTGGTAGTACTAAAATCGTTCCTTCACATCTTTATATGTATATGTTCACTACTACATGTGAGGAAAATGTGAGCATTTTCTTCCTGATTCAGTTTGAAGCAAAGCAGCGATGCTGTCAGGGCTCCATCTATCGACCTCACGATCTCAGTCGGTTATCATCAATCCTATGTCATCAGTGTGTCTCCAGCCTCGTCAAAAACAAATAGATTAAAGGGGAAAGATAAGGGGTCGCAATCATTTCATCATCAGAAGTCAGCTGAAATGCTTCAGCTGTGTTTAAGGACAACAGCTGGTTTTTATTCTGTTACCTGCGATTATTGATCAGATGAGAATCTGTCTGACACTGAAGCTGCTGCAGTGAAAAATTCAACACTCAGGATTCATTTTAACACTTAAATGACACCTGTGACATCAACACATGTAACATTAAAAGCACATATTTTAATTTTGTTAACTCACAAATGTGTTGTAATTGTTAAGACAGTGATCAAATGTTAAAGAACTTTTTTGTGAGCTAACCTCTGCAGCCAAAAGTTGCAAAAAGGTCAATAAAACGTGACTTTTATATATAAGAAAAAAATCACTTGGGATAAATAAAGTTCTATCTTTTATATGATACATATCTAAAAAAAGTTTTTCCGTAATCGTAGCATTTGTCAAATAATTTAAAGCTGCTTTTCAATATCAGTCAAAATACTTTTAATGCGGAAAACAATCTCTGCCGTCCTGCTTGTGACATAAAAAAGTGACAGCGAAAAATAGAAATTAAAAATGTAAAATGTGAAAAATAAATGGGCATTAACATAAACGCAGCAGCGCTATCATTTTGTAGACCTTATCGCTGATTCGGCTCTCCGTTAAACGAGAACACACTTTTCAGTTTAGAGAAAACAATGCAGTGTAATCTGAGCAACATATCATTACATAAATATGAAATTTCTGCAACAGATTATTTCTGATAACGGCAGTAAAATTAATTAAATGCAAAATAATGATTAAATCTGGACATTTTATGTATAATGCGTAACAGATGTCATGCATTGGTGTTACAACTCATTTAATCTTTGTCTGTAAATCTAAAGCATTAAGGGGCGGCAGTAGCTCAGTCCATAGCGACTTGGGTTGGGAACCGGAGGGTCCCCGTCTGGACTAAATATGGAGCGTGGACTGGTGGCTGGAGAGGTGCCAGTTCACCTCTTGTGCACTGCTGAGGTGCCCTTGAGCAAGACACCGAACCCCCCAACCTCTCGGGGCGCCTGACCAAGGCAGCCCCACTCTGACATCTCTCCACTTAGTGCATGTATAGGTCCAGTTTGTGCGTGTGTGTGTGTGTCTTTCAGACCTGTGTGTGTTAATGACAAAAAGAGTGAAAACATTGAATTTCCCCTCAGGAGGATTAATAAAGTGAATCAAATTAAAAAATAATTATCCAATCCAATTAATATTAGATTAATTCAGCTGTTAAACATCAGCAGTACAAAAGACAGTCATGTATAATAATGAACAATAACAGCTGTAATTATTAAGCTTTATTATCACTGGGTCAATGAGCAGCGCCTCTAACTGTACGTGACTATATTTCCTGAGGTGAAACTGTGAGACGCGATGGTTATTATCATGAAGAATTCTGGGTAAACATCATTTTAACCAGCAACTTGATGGTTCATTGGTCGTTCCTTTAGAAATTTGATCACTGCTCGACTCGAGGCGCTCGTACTACTGGAGCATTTATTTAACAAAAAAAAACAGGCTGCAGAGTCTGGGTACTTATCTGCTATTAACAATCTCAGACGACCAAAACGTGTTTAAAAATTTCTGGTATTTACTGATGGACTTAACTGATTAATGGAAGAAGTCTAGCTTGAGCTCTGTTTATAATCAATGGATAAATAAATAAATAAATAAATAAAAGCTTCTAGCAAAGACGGTTCAAAGGATCAGAAGAATCGAACTCTGACCTTTCAACAACTATGTCCAGATGTGAAAGCTGTGCTTTGCTGTACTCTCTCTGCTGTCGGAAGATAAGATAAGATGAGATGAGATGAGATGAGATGATGATGTGAGTCGAGCTTCATGACATTCAATACAACACAGTATCATGCAGGCCACAATCTTTGCTCACACATATAAACGCATGCACACACACATGTGTTAGGCACAGTGTACGGACACACAAACACAAAGCCCTCATACTTAAGTAACATAGTCATATTTTGTCTCTGCTCTGACTGTGGTCTGTCTTCGGTCTCATCTTTGTCTGTATTTTACTGTATCCACTGTGTCGTATTATTGTATGGAATAACTCCACGCTCAGTAAACTTACACTTAGTGTTTTGCAAATTAGCCGTGCTTAGACACCTGTATGCATCACATCTACTTGGTATTTTACATATGAAGCAAATAAACAAGTACATAAATAGAAAACAATGTACATGACATGGACACAAAAACTGGGGTGAAATATTGCACACACTCTGTAATAAATCAGCTGAACTATGTGACAATAAAACCATAAAAAGCCTATTCATTTCTTTTTTACCAAAGTCCGTCCTGTAGCAGTAACAACACGTTGCATCCACGTAACAGCCTGCGAATAAACGTCCTGTAAGCTGTTATATGTGAGATGTCCGTTGCTGTCATCTTTTCTCTGCAGTAATTTTCTGTAATACGTTAATGGTTTGGTTCACACAGATTTTACGACGCGTTCGGCAGAAAATCTGCACACGGCAAGTTTCGTAATAATTTTGGAATTATTTATTGAACCCAGCCCCAGCGTGTGTGTGTGTGTGTGTGTGTGTGTGGGTACTGGAAGTGCATTTTCTACAACTCTGCCTGAATTTAACCTACTTATTTAATCATTTAGAGGCTCTTTAGTGTCACTGTGAGTCTTTGTCGCACTTTGAATTTGATTATTTTGAGCACAAGATTTAATTGTTGTTATTTTCCCTCTCTGAGCTTTTTCCTGCACATGCGTACATGAAAAAAAGCTGATTCGAAACCTGATCACCAGGATATTTGGCTTCAAAATCGACTTTTTTTCTGAACAAATGCACTCACAGAAACTGGGTTTTCCTCATTGCCGAAAGTCTGGCAATATTTTATTTCACTTGTCATCAAATCCAGTGAAATGACCGAAACCAACAGGATTAATCCTATTAATAAGTATCGTGTGTATTGAAGTGTGATGTGTCCTCTTTCTCTGTGCTACAGAGCTGTGTCGCCGTGCAAAGAAAAAACACATCAGCGAGACACACTGCTGAAACGTTCCGCCATTACCATGAGCACAACTGCACACACTGCGCTCAGACTTTTGAGGAGTATTAGTGTGAGTGTACTGGTGTGTCGTGCTATGTGTACTTAAATATGTGTATAGTGGCATGTTTATAGTAGTAGATGTATTGTGCAGCTATAAACTCTGGAACTATGTTAAAGTGCATCGTTCCTATAAAAAAAAAACAACAACAAAAAAAACAACAACTGTAGTTTATGTGACGCAATCTTACATTTCCTGTCCTGCTGCCCCAACACTCACTAGAGCACCAAATGTGGATTCATCCACCACTGAAAATAGTCCCTATCAAATGCACTATTTCATCCTGTTTTTATTAAACATTGTGAGCTGATTTAAAGATGGAGCCAGTGGGCTTTGTGCTGAGTGCCACAGATAGAGAGTTAACAGATGGACTGACGCATTGTTAGTCTGGATATATTCATGAGGTCAGTGCTGCTACATGGTCAATGCATCAGGAGAACGAATATGACGTCTATGAAATCAAGTTAAAATAAGCAGCAACAGATTCACCACTCCAGCTACGCCTTTATCAGTTTTGTTTTTATCTTCTTTTGCCATTGTGGCTTTTCTTATTTCTTCTCACACTCCATACACACTATGACAGAACAGCAAATGAGACGTATTGTATCTTCAGGTGTGGTTTTGTGTCATGATATGAAAGGAAAGAGATATCGTCTATATCACAGTACTTCTTCAGTTGTTCTGTTTTTAAGTTCACCCCGCAGAGTATGCTTACTTTAATATGCTGGATGGCGTTAAAGAAAGAAGTCGTGTTATTATGATCCTTGAGGTCAGATATTATCTTGAGTTCTCATATATTTAGTTTAAAAACATCTTTAAATTACAACGGGACATCAGAACATATTTGATGAACTTTTTTTTTCCCCAACGTGGAGAGCTAAAGGGAATTAATAAGGCAATGCCTTTACACAAAACACTTTACTGATTAGAATAATTTATGTCTACCTGTGGAACCACTCACAGATGAAAGGCGAGCAGAGTGGAGCAGGCCCAGATGTCAGATAGACGTGACTCAGACTTAAAAACTACTCTCGGCCTGATTTATCCTGCCGAAGTCATCCCCACAAATCTGCCATTAGTCTCTGGTTTTTCCTCTGAAAGCTGCCTCGCTTCTCCAGGACTGTAAAGTGGGACATCTGGAGGATTGTTGTGTGGTGTGTGGTTTAATATGATGCAGTGGTGTAACGGTCTGGT